TATAACCAAAAACCAAACCAAACTGCTGTTGAGTTGATTTGACTCATAAGGACCTCTCCTTTGGTTTCAGAGGAGGTATCTGTACAGAATTAGATTTTCCAACCTTCCTTCGAGGAGTGGCTGGTGGGTTTAAACCTCTAGTCTTCCACTTAGCAGTCAAATGCCTTAGGCACTATGCCACCAGAGCTCCCACAACACCTGTAGGTTTTTTTTTTGTTGTTGTTGTTAAGTGCCCTCGAGTTGTTTCGGACTCATAGCGACCCCATGCACAGCAGAACGAAACACTGCCCGATCCTGCGCCAGCCCCACAATCCCTGCTATACTTGAGCCCATCATCGCAGCCACCGTATCAATCCGTCTCGTTGAAGGCCTCCCCCTCTTTCGTCGACCCTCCACCCTACCAAGTTTTCTAAATTTTGTATGGCATCACTCAGTATGAAGTCGTTTGTATCTGACATAGTATATTTTTTGAAAGATAGTTTTAAACAAATGAAGTGGCATGCCACAAACTTGGAGAATATTCTTGTATCCATTACATTAAAAAATTAAGAACCCAATTTGTAAAAACTGACAAAGGATATAGATTTGACAGAGGTTATTTTTACACATGTATTTATATGTGCTACAAATATATCCATGAATATAATAGAATATAGAGAGTTATGAAAACTTCTTGGCCATAACCAAGCACCTAGAGGGAATGAGGCTCTGGACCTGGGGGCTCAGGACCATGGTGTCAGGGGACACCAAGGTCAACTGGTATAACATAGCCCACAAAGAGTGTTTATTCTACATCCTGCTTTGGTGAGTAGCGACTGGGGTCTTGAAAAGTTGTAAGCAGACATGTAAGGTGCAGCTATTGATTGCTTCCCATCTGAAGCAAAGAAGAGTGAAGAAGATCAAAGACACAAGGAAACATTTTTTCCAAAGGACTAATGGACCACATGAATCCCAGCCTCCACAAACCTAAGACCAGAAGAACTAGGTGGTGCCCAGCTATCATTGCTGACCACTCTGAAAGAGATCATTATAGGAGGTACTGGATAGAATGGGAGAAAAATGTGGAACAAAACTCAAAATCATAAAAAGACTAGGCTTACTAGTGTTATAGAGACTGGTGAAACCCCCAAGACTATGAGCCTGAGATATCCTTCAGATAAGGAATTGAATTCATCTCTGTGACTCAACTTTGAGCCAAATGATGGACAGGCCTATAAGGTAAACAGTAACTTCAGGGAGGCATGGACTCATTAGAACAATCAACCATTCAATCAACCATGAGGTATGCACTCTTCAGAACAATCAACCAAGCAGCCATTAGAACATCAAGCATTCAAGATCAAAAAGGCAGCGTTTGCCTAGGGATAAAGCTAAGAAGGCAGGAAGGGATAGGAAAGAAGGATGAACGGAAATGATAAACAGTGGGAGAAAGTGGGAAGACTGCTGTCACATTGTGGGGATTGTAATGAATGTCACAAAACAAAATGTGTATGAATTGTTGAATGGAAAATCAATTTGCTCTGTAAATTTTCACTTAAATCATAACTAAAAAAAAAAAAAAAGATTTTCACAGTTTACCAAAGAAGATATAAAATGGAAAATGTACATAATAGATGCCAACATCCTTAATCATTAGGAAATGTAAATTAAAACCACAATGAGATACATACTCATTAAAGTGGCTAATAATAAAAAGACTGAAAATACCAAATGTTGATAAGGATGTGGAGGTAGTGGAACTCTGATATATAGCTGGCGGATGCTCTTTGGAAAATAGTTTGATAGTTTGTAATAAAGTTAAACATATATTTAGAATATGTCACTCCATGGTATTAACCAATAGAAATGAAAACTTATTTTGACACAAAGATCTGTTTACAAATGTAACAGCTTTATTTGTATTAGTCTAACTGGAAACAACCCAAATGTTTATCAAATGGTGAAAGGATAAGCAAACTGTAGACTAGGCATACAATGGAAAATTATTCAGTAGTAATAAAAAGGAGTGAACTACAGTAAGGGGGAATTTTAAAAGTTTTATGTGGAGTGAAAGAACTAGATACGAAAGATTACATTGGAGAAATTTTGAAGATTTTGAAGAATCAAATACATCAAGCTCAATTGGTATAACATACTACACAAAAACACTGCTATATCCTATTTTGGTAAGTAGCAATTGGGGTCTGAAAAGCTTGCAAGCAACCATCTAAGATTCACCTATTAGCCATTTCTTATCTGGAGCAAAAAGAGTAAAGAAAATCAAAGACACTTGGAAACAATTAGTCCAAGGGACTAGTGGACCATGATAACCTCAGTGTCCACAACCCTGAGACCAGAAATACTAGACAGTGCCTGGCTGCCACTGCCAACACTCAAAAAGGGATCAAAATCAGAGATCCTGGAAAAAGTGGGAAAGAAGTGTGGAACATAACTCAAAATCATAATAAAGACCAGGCTTACTGGTCTGATAGAGACTGGTGAAACACCCGAGACTATGGCCCCTAGTCCTCCTTTGGGCCTGGAATTGAACTCATTCCTGTGGCTTAACCTTCAGCCAAACAAAAGACATATGAGGTGAACAGTATGTTACACCAGAGAGGTACACTCCTTAGAACAATCAACCATGTGAGATCAGAAGGGCATCTTTTGTGCAGGGAGATAGTTCAGAAGGCAGGAATGCATAGGAAAGAAGGACACAGGGAAAAGATAATCAATCATAGGGAGGAAGTGGGAAGAGAGCTGTTACATTGTGGGAATTGCAGTCAATGTCACAAAACAAAATGAATATGAAGTGTTGAATGGAAAACAAATTTACTCTGTAAATTTTCATACAAATCACAATAAAAAGTTTTTTAAAAAAAGAATCAAAAAGCACAAAAGATCACATGTACTCTATAATTCCATTGATATATCCAGACTAGGTAAATCCAAAGAGACAAAAAGGAGATCGGTGGTTGCCAAGGGCTGGGAGCAGGGAGAAATGGGAGTAATGGCTTAATGGGTATGAAGTTTTATTTTGGGATGATGAAAATGTTTGAAACTAGATATAGGTGGTAATTGCACAACCTTGTGAATGTAGTAAATGCCACTGACTCGCTCACTTTAATAATTAATTTTATAAGATGTAGATTTCACTTAAAGTCTAAAAGCAGTGAATATTTGAGTGTCACAAAGTACTATGATATGTTACAGGATCTTTGTCATCAAGGAGCCTACATAACTACATGAATATTAACCACTGTAATGGTAGTACCTAGAGCTTTTCTTAGAGTAGGACTTTTGTAGAGTTTTTCTTTAAATTCAGTTTTGTTTTTCTTAATGTGCTCTGTGTGCTTATGTAGTATTTGAGTACATCAACAACTATTTTACAATCAAGATGTTGAACATTTCCATCACCCTCAAGTGGTTTCTGTATTCCAAACACAGAGAGAATCGGTGGCGGACATCAGTGGTCCATGGCCGCAAACCATATCATCCAGCTGGGAAATAGTATAACCCAGCGTGGAATGTGGTGGTAGATTCTATGTTCAGTTCATAAATACTATAGGGATGATGATAAGTAAGGATTCCTGGAGCTGAGACAGTCAGGGATTTCCCAGATTTGTGTGAGTGGAAGTCTTAACATCTTTCTGGTCACAGCCTAAGTATCTTTTCTTTAGATAAGATTCCCTGACTATCCACTGTATGTAGGTCCCTCTTCCCCAATTACTTATGTCACATCACCTCTTATGTTCCCTTCATCATTGATCATTATTGAAAGTACCTTGTTCATTAGTTTTTAAACCTTTTCTTTTTTTTCTGCCTGTTTTCTTGCTCCAGAATTTAAGCTCGTTGAGGGCAGGTATATTGTGTCTCTTATGCATTGCTATATCCTAATGTCTAGCACAAGGTTTGGCACTAAGTAGATGTTATAAATATGTTAATTAAATTGAACCAAACAAAATTAAATTTGAGTGAATTACATAGAAGTAGATAGTAAAGATGTAGAGATATTAACTAAAAATTTCTAAGAAATAATTTCCTCATCTGTTTTAAGCATTAAGCAATATAACCCATACAAATTACTTAAAACAATGCCTACCAAGAGCTCAAAAGTATCTCGATAACTAATCATAATATGGGGATAAATTATCTTATTGTGGCTATAGCATAAAATAGATCTGTCTCTTCCTTGGTTCTACGACGTCAATACATTACTTTTCTTGTTTTTATAAAATTATTTTTTCTCAGTTCAACCTCTTACAGCATGTCCCTCCCAGTCTCTGCTTTTTCTAGTCAATGCAGATGTTGTCAGTTGAATCCAAAATTCTAATCATGAAATCTTCCTTCTTTTATCCATGTCTTCAGTCCTAGAAGTTTTAGAAAAGTTATAGTCCTGTTTAAAAGGTGTTATGTTTCTCCACAATATCTAAGTGCACAGCTTCATTTAAATAGAGAATTTTAAATGACATTTCATCTTTTTTCACAGATTTTCTTTCTGAATGAAATCAATGAGTCTAGATGCAAAAGTATCCTTTCATTTTTTTAATACCTTTTTTTTCTTTTTTTTTAAACAACGGTTTCCTATCCTATCTTCCAACTTTGGTTTCAATTTATTTTGTCTGCTGGCTTTCCTTAAGGTTTAAGAGATCAAAATGCAGTTAAATTCTGTAAATTGGCTACATCTTAAGCAAGTATTCTTTTAGTGGATGTTTCTAAAGCAGCTTGTTACCATTTCAAAGGTCAAACAGATAATGATTAAATCGTGCATCACTTAAAGGTAGATTTTGACCTCTCACAAGTTGAAGAGTACTGAAAATCTAAGATCATTTACACCCCTCAGGGGAGTGGGGGGAAGTAGTCTTCTAGGACAAATAAGAAAGAAGTGAAAAGTTACTGGATATTCTGGATGTTCCACAGATCAAAGTACATTTGCCTGGTTTGCTGTTCTCTAAGCTTCCACTCTCAATCTGTTGAAATTGCCTCATTGACCTGGCAACCTACGAAGGCTGGTGAGGAACATGTCCTCACCGTTTCTTTGGAGTTTGGTTATTTTATTGATATTTGCTGAATTAGATGGTGAATCTGGAGGACCTGAGCTGCAGAGACACAAAAGAAACAATGACCTCCAACAGTAAGTAGATGTATGGGTCATTTCTCTGAGAGACTAAAAAATTAAAAAAAAAAAAAAAAAAATCAATTGCCCTCGAGTCAATTCTGACTCATGTAGGACCCTTTAAGACGTAATAGAACTGCTTCATTGAGTTTCCAAGGTTGTAATCTTTACAGAAGCAGACTGTCACATTTTTCTTCCATGGAGCAGAAAGTGGGTTTGAACTCCTGACCTTCCAGTTAGCAGGCACGTGCTTAACCGCTGGGTTTTACAAATAACCAGTTAAGCAAAGGTGTAACTTTTCTTAAGGAAAACAAAGACGTTAAAAACAAACAGGGAAAAACATTTGGAGTGATGTATTAAGTCACCTTCTTATGCAAAAATAATTTGTTTATCGTTTTACTAAGAAGTCAAATATCTATTACTAGGTGATATCGCCAGAACTTTGCAGAGAAAGAAATGGCAGATGAGCAGGGACAATTTGGTTGAGTTGAGCACAAAGTGAAGATGTATAAATTCTCTAGTGAGAAACTTTTTTCTTTAGATGTAAAAAATATTCATACTAATTACTGATGTTTTCTCTTGCTTGGATTATATAGGCCTCGAATTGCTTCAGAGAGGGGAAATTTAGTGTTTCTTACTGGTTCTGCCCAAAACATTGAATTTAGAACTGGATCCCTTGGGAAGATTAAATTAAATGATGAAGACCTCAGTGAATGTTTACATCAGGTAATACACTGGTAATTTATTGAAGTGAATTCATATGACCATATGTGGTGACATTATTGAATAGATCTATATGAAGCTGTATCTTTAACCTTATAATGTGCAGGTCAGACTAGACCTTGTTAAAGGACACTGACCTAGGGTTTAAGGTGAATAGAGGGATTAATCCTAGTGGAAAGTGGCTCATTGTGCAGGGATACATATCCTAGTCCAAAGAAAGTACAGAAAGTGATAATTGGAATTCCTCTGTCTGGGGCAAGTATAGATGCAACCAGTGTGCTTTTGCCCCAGAGAAGGATTTGCTAGTTATTCTCCTGCCTTCTTGTTGTGTGCCATTGAAGAGATTCCGACTCATAGTGATCCCATAGGACATACTGGAACTCCCACAGAGTTCCCTAGGCTGTATGTAATCTTTTTGAGAACAGACTGCCACGTTTTTCTCCCACAGAGCTGCTAGTAGGTTACAGCCACTGACCTTTTGGTTAGCAGCCAACTGCTTAACAATTGAGCCACCAGTACTTCGGTACTTAATATTTACTACATCACACTTGGATATCAGTTGTAATTTTAGAAGCTAGCGTTATTTAGAGCTTTCTCTGAGCCATAGCTATGCTTAGCACTTTATGAGTATTATCTCATTTGACCCTGTGAAGTGGACTCATATTATTCCATTCATAGGTGAGCTGCAAGTTAAGTATCTTGCCCAAGGACACCCAATAAAGTGACTGAGCCAAGATTTATAACCCAAACAATATGACTCCAAGCTAGGCTTCTTAGCAAGTACTTTAAACTGTTATTACGGAGAAAAAGCACTAATGGAAAATACATTGGTATGTTGTAATTCAAAAGGGTTAAGCCATATTGAATTATGTCATGACTATTTTAGGCTGATGTTTATTATACATGGCATTGTTTGGTTTTTATAGTAATAGGCAAGGTCTTAGTGCTTAAAATAGAACACTAAAGTTTTTTTATTATGTTGTTAAACCCTTTTCTCTAAAATATGTGATTTTTTTCACTAGCCTTTTTTTTTCTTTTAAATTAGATCCATAGAAACAAAGATGATATTATAGATTTAAAAAAGAGTGCAATTGGTATGCCTCAAGATATATCTAGTCAAATCCATCAGCTTAATTCCAAGGTAAGTTACACCCACATCATTAGAGGGAAAGACTCTCTAACTTTGAGTGTAACAGTTTTGCAGGGATTATACTAGCTTTGTATCCTCTTTAGAAATTTGGATGGCATTATCATTATGTGCTTTTTGGCTAAATGACATATCTCTAATGGAGAGAGTAGAAGTGTTAATGGGTAGAGGATTGGAAATGCTGTGTCATGACTTCTAGGCCTGGCTCAGACCTTCACAGCTGCTTTCTTATTGGTAATATAAATACATCACTGTCATTTACAAAGATTCCAAGAGAAGAAATGAATCACTTTAACAGTGGGTTGTACTTCTTTCAAAAATTAGCTTTTTTTTTTTTTTTTTAAACCTATGCTATGGAAAAAAGGGAGTAAGAAGGAAGGGAAACTTGGAGGCAGAAGAGTAGAGAGGGAAAGACAATAAAAGAAGGAAAGAAGTAAAGTGAGTCCCTACCAGAGAATATTAGGAAAATATGTTAAAGATGTTATGTCATAATGTCATAAATGAAATGCCTTTGAACTAGCTAATTGATGCTTTTTCCCCCTCTACTGCTAGCTTGTGGATCTTGAGAGAAAATTTCAAAGCTTACAGCAGGTAAGTACCATAACTACTAGATATCTAATAACTTTCACTGAAAACAAATTAGAATCACTGATAAAGCTGGTATCTATATTTTAAGGATAGATGGATAATTAATATTAAGGACAATGATTGCTTTTTCCCATAATTTAATTCTTATCATAGCTTACACTTGCTGCAATACAGATGCGGAATCTAAGAGCAGTAAAATGACCAGCCTGAGGACTTTTGATTGAGTTTGTCAAGGCATATGCTCCTCCCCTTACAATATCACCCTTTGACTGTGTTAAAGTGGGCTTAGGTGTATTATACCTGGCCAGCTAGGGACTGTGCACAATATGCTTATTGTGGCATCAAAGATTAAGTTTTGAAAGGCTATCTATCTTCTCTAACACAAAACACAGTAAAACCAAAAACCAAACTCAACTGCCATTGAGTCAGATCCAACTCATAGTGACCCCTCCACGGGTTTCTGAGGCTGTATCTCTATGGATGTAGATTTGCCAGTCTCTTCCTTCCGAGGAGTGGCTGGTGGGTTTGAACCACCAGCCTTCTGGTTAGCAGTCAAATGCCTTAGGCACTACACCACTAGAGCTCCCTCTAAACACAGGGGTCAGGGACATATCATAAAATATTTAAAATTTCCTAAAAACATTTGCTGATAATTAAATTTGAGCAATTTCTTAGAGGAAATGTTCAATGACTTTATTATGTGCTATGTAAATGAGTCCTTCTAATTTTAGGCTTAATACCCCTTTTGTAGGTGCTCTGGTAGCATAGTGCCTACGGCACTTGACTGCTAACCAGTAGGCTGGTGGTTCAAACCCACCAGCCAATCCTCTGAACGAAGATGGGGCAATCTACTTTGTAGTGATACTGCCTCGTAAACCCAAGGAGGGGTTGCTATGAGTCGGGTCCGACTCGACGGCACACACGGTGGTAAGGGGTTCTTACACCAACAACCCCTTTTGTAGGTAGCTGGCCTCTTTTAAGTTTTTCATGGATGTCATGACCTTCCTCCCAGACAATCACACAGAGTGTCCTCATATTTAAAATTCTGAATAAAAGTCCAGCAAATCCAAGTTAAGAAACTCTGCTCTAATGTTCTTAGTCTGTTTTGATTATACTTCAAGTGTTGTCCTCTACTTCTGGTGTTTTAAGTTTGGCAAACAAGTTCATGGCTTCCTTTTCCTGACTTTAATAATAAATTGCCCTCTCAGCCTTCAACTTTTTAGGGAGTAGTTTAGTGAAAGAAAATGAGCAAGGAATTAGACCTGTGGAGCAAGACACAGAACTAGAGTGTTTAACCTCTTAAAGTGCTTGATTATATTTCTACCAAGGTCCAGAATGGGGTATATGGTCAAAATTAGCCCACAGACAGTTTCCCTCCCTCCCCTCAAGGGGAAAAAAAAAAAAAAAACAAACACCAAACTCACTGCCATGGAGTTGAATCCAACTCATAGCGACCCTTTCTTGGGTGTCTGAGGCAGTATCTCTATGGAAGTAGATTGCCCAGTCTTTCTTCTGACCTCAAGGAAGAGTCTTTAATTAGTGTTGAATGTGATTGCCTTTATGTCTTTGGGTTGAACAAGTACTCTCTGGGGTCCACAGTCCCTGCCACTCCCTATTGTCTTTCTCCTGTTTTTGTACAGCAAGCAACAAGATAGCAAAACCTTTTAATTAATTTCTAGTTAGCTTTGTTAGTAGTATTCTTTGATGATCAGAGGTTTTTAATTGTGGTACTGTCACATAGATAGACAAATAGAATATTGGAACAAAAAGAATCCAGAAACAGACCGCTGTATATATAGTTACCTGAATTTGACCAAGATGGCACTGCTACACAGTATTGAGAAAAGGTGGGCTTTTTAAAAAAGTAAATGGTGCTGGGTCATTTGGCTGTCTTTTCACTCAAGTTTCATGTGTAAAACCAAGGGAACAAACTAGATTTTCTCTGTAAGTCATTGAATATAAGAAAAAAAAAGGTAGTAAGTAACATGTACATACTTTAGTTTTTATAAAACAGAGAATCAGACTATGATTAGATAAAATGAATGGAATAGGTTTCCATGTATAATCACTTGTACTTCTTAAAGAAGTTTTCTCTGCTCCCAGAGGCATTAAAAGTCTTACAAGATTAGACCTGGTAGTGGACATATGGTAAGATTCCCCATGTTGTATAGACAAAGGCAGGTCTGTGTGGGTCTCTGATCTGATAGCAGTCATGTGAGCCTGAGAGTGGAAAGTATATCTAAACCCCACATTCCAGACAAAGGGACCTGGAGAGAAAAGAGCTCACTCATCTTATTCTATGGGAGGAGGGGTGGCAGTGAAAGATGATCAGATCTCAAATGCTTATCTGGAGGTACCAAAGATAATAATAGAGAAGAGAACTAGAATATTCATTTTATTTTCTTTGAGCAATAGCAACATCCATTATTATTCCTGCACCTAAAACCTTTACTTTTGTTCATTAGTGTATAGTTCTCAGTTGAACAATGTTTTTACAGAGAATAGAGTGAGAATCGTCTCCTTCAGCCTAAACAATTAAGCGTTCATTAAGCACTTGACTACTAGGCAAAGAGTTGCTGGTACAAACCCACCCAGAGGCATCTCAGGAGACAGTCCTGGTGATCAGCTTCCAAAAAATGTCACAGCCTTGAAAACCCAATGGAGCAGCCCTGCTCTTCACACAGGCGGTCTCCATGAGCCAAAATCAACTCAAAGGCAGCAAACACCAACAGCATTAAACGCTTTTTGTTTTCACTCCAGAGAGTTGATTTATAGAATGTAAGTAATTGTTTTAAAGTCCAGAGGAAGAACTCCAATTTCCTAGGAGTAGAATGTAGTCCTTAAAAGCATCTGCATCTAAAAATATTTTCCACTGTTGCCAACTGTAGATACACTTGTCCCATGACTGCTCTGGTCCTATCTTTGTTTTAGACAGTTGACAAAAAAGTTTGCAGCAGCAATCCCTGCCAGAATGGTGGAACCTGCATCAACCTGCATGATTCCTTTTTTTGTATCTGTCCGTCACAGTGGAAGGTAAGTCCCTTGGTCTTTGGTTAAAAATGACTATGAGATAGCAGCTGTGGTTTCCTTGCAATCATTAAGATGTATTTGATCTTCATCTGAAGTGTCTAGGATTCTGTGGTGTTCCTAATCAAGATTAATTACACCTTGTATGCCCAAATCAAAACAACGGCAAGTATGATTATATAACCCTCTGAATACTAAGCTATCTTCAGGAGGGGCTGACTTTATTGGACATGGAAGGGCATGATATTTTTGTTAGCATTATTTAAATAGTTTAGGATTGGAAAGTACTAAACAAATCTTGATATGTTGTTGTTGTTGTTGTTATGTGCCGTCGAGTCAAACCCGACTCATAGCGACCCCTCCTTGGGTTTCCGAGGCAGTATCACTACGGAAGGATTGCCCAACCTTCCTTCCAATGAGTGGCTGGTGGGTTTGAACCGCCAGCCGTCTGGTTAGCAGGCAAGTGTCGATATAGCTATGTAAATTTTCTTGCCCTTTTCTAATAATGGTGAAAATATTCCAACATGCTTATTTTCTTTTAATTTGTTAATTATTCCCAGAACCAGGTGTGAAACAAGGATTGGTTTGTATAAAGATTCTCCTCATGTAATGGGTGCAATCTTATGAAAATCTCTTTGGTTCTATTAGGCCAACCTGAGTTTCAGAGGAAGGATAAATGGAGATTAATGTTAATATTAATATGATTGTATTTGGCTTTACTGATGACTTATTACTATTAGGGTACAACTCCTTAAACATATTGCATTAATATTGCCCCCCAGATGCCTCTGTGACTGCTGGCCAATGACTTTAGTTTTTTTATATCAACACAGGGTCCTCTTTGCTCAGCTGATGTTAATGAATGTGAGATTTATTCTGGAACACCCTTTAGCTGCCAGAATGGAGCCACATGTATAAATACAATAGGGAGTTACAGGTAACCTTTCTTTCAAAATCAGGGTGTGTTTTGGAAAGAGTAGGATGCCCTAGTTGAATATTCAAAATTTATATATCTATTACCAGTGAAAACAGGTACTCCATGGACAATATGTGGTTCTTATTTTACATATAAGGAGCTCTGGTGGCACAGTGCCTAAGGCATTTGACTAACCAGAAGGTTGGACGTTGAAATCCATCAGCCACTCTGTGGGAGGAAGGTGGGGCAATCTACTTCCGTAAAGATTTATTGCCTTGAAAACCCAATGGGGGTCAATGAGTCAGAATCAACTCGATGGGCATTTTTTTTTTTTTTTTTATTTGTTATATACATGGGGCTGCTGTGAGTTGGAGCTGACTTGACAGCATCTAACAACATCAAGAAGAAGCTATCCTTTCCCTAGTGTCCATGGAGAACTAGAAAAAGGCTGCTATGGCTGGAATAGAGAGTCAGAGGAGCATGGTGCAAGATGGTACAAGAACTAGTAGGGGTTAGATCAGGCAGGGTCTTAATGGGTCAAATGGAAGAGTTAGTATTAATGAGATAGGCAGGGAATTGGGCTAGTTAGGTCAAACAGGCCCCTGACTCAATACCCTTTATGTTTAAACATGCATGTAGTCCACCACATAATTCTTGGCTACTGGCATCAGAGAACTGATGACACTTGGAAAGCCAACTGCTTGGGCTAGATAACCAAAACCAAAACCAAATTCACTGCCATTGAGTTGAATATGACTCATAGCAAGCCCCTTTGGGTTTCCAAGGCAGTAATCTTTACAGAAGTAGATTGCCTAGTCTTCTTTCTGTGGACTGGGTGGTGGGTTTGAACCACCAACCTTCTGGTGAGCAGTCAAATGTCTTAGGCATTATGGAAGAGGCTGTAAATTAAAAGGCCCTAAGCTTGACCAATTACCAGATGCCTACCAGGTGCAGAGCATGTGCAGCAAAGGTCAATGTGACTGACAAAGTGACCTTCCACCAGAGGTGGGAGAGAACAAGAATCTCTCACTGGTGCTGGAACTTTGGTCCAGAGACATCACACATGTGTGAATGGAACCTCAGAACCCCACACATTGCATGAATAAAGAAGATGCCTTATCCATGCCTAAAACCATTTCTAAACCCTAGGAAATCCTTTGTTCAGAGAGACTGGAGGCTAGTGTATGTGAAAACCCTTTTCTGTCTCTCCCTTGCAAGCCCCTCCTCTCTCCTCTCTCTTTAATAAACTTTGTTTCATGTGGACATTTTGACTCCTCTGTTCAATTCTTTGTCAGTAGAAAGCAAGGACCCCTTCTCTGGTTCCAGGATCCTGGTAACATCAATTCTATCAGCAATGGGCATCCATTGATGAGTTTTAAGTAGAGAAAGGAACACCCCACCATACCAATGCACTACTGTTATAATTATTCACTATATTAGCAATGTAATGTAAGTAGTCCATGAGTGGCACAAACTGCTCAACTATTAGCCAAAAGGTTGGTGGTTTGAACCTACCCTGAGGTGCTTCAGAAAACGCCCTGCTTCTATAAGGTCACAGCCTTGAAAACCCTATGGAGCAGTTCTTCTCTGCACACATGACGTCACCATGAGTCAGAAATACCAGATGGCAGCTAACGACAACATTAGCAAGCATGTGTTCATTGAAGCTCTATATAAAAATCTTCACCATGTCAAGGTCAAAGTTTGAACTGAGGCTTTCTTCAAATAGTTAACTATCATTGCATTTCTTTAATTAACCACAACGCCTTTAATCATAATCATCAAGAAGGTTATATTTTTCCTTTTGATTTACTTTGTCAAATGCCTTGTCCACAGCATTCTTCTGCTGGGCTCAATTTTCACCTTCTCCAGGAATCCTTCCCTGAAGTTTTGGCTTGGGTTAGGCATTAGAATACATCTGTGCTCCCATCCTACTCAAGGAGTATTGATCATTAAAACTAAGCTGGCTCACAAATTATCTTTTTAATAATCAAGTCTAAAATTTCATGGTAGATCAAAGTCAAACTTTACTGTTGTATGGTTCCTTAAAATCACTTTTAAAAAAAGTTGTAGATATTATCTTTCCTCATTCTTTTGGTTGGTCTCCTGTTTCTGTCATTATAAAAAGATTAAGAAGTTGATTCTGTTATGGCATGAGAAAATTCTTTCAATACTCTAGGGGATAATCTTACTGGACTAAAGAATAATTATTTGCTCACTATTTTCTGTCCCATCTTGTTCTTTAGTTGCCTTATAACAATATCTATTCTATTTTTCCAGCAAAAATGAGTGCAGTGATTTTGTTCTTTCCCCCATTATCCCTTAACAGACTATTTTCTCAAAAAGCAGTCATCACAATCCATTCTGTATATTTTATTGATCCTTTTATTCTCTTGATCTAATCTTAAACATTTTTGCTCATTCCAAGTTATAATTTTATATCATTTAAATTCTGATAGATATGTCCAGGAGTTTAAACTGTATGCAATTCCAAAATTAACCAGTCATGCCTTAAATGTAGTATTATGTTATCAAAGAGCCTTTAGCATTCAAAACTTTTCATGTGAATAACCCCTTCTCCTTTGTTTTTTTTTTTTTAAATGTTCAGGCTTGGCCGAAATCCAGAATGCATGTCTAATCTTTCATTCCCTTGAAAGCATTTTCTCTTGATTACTGTTTATGGGCATTTATCAACATCGATTACTACTGGGAGATATTGGTGGCAAAATCCTGGCTCCTAGCCCTTACATTTTCTGGCCTTGGTCTCTAGGAATATCCTAGAGATTAGATCTCCTTTCCGTGTCGCTCCCAGTCCTTCTTTATCGCCACAGTCTTTGGGCTTCTTGAGCTGTGAACACGAATGGCCCTATGATATCTTGTAAGCCAATGGCATGACAAAGATGTTTAAGTAGGGTAAGATCCATAACTCAAGCCAACATTTTTTTTTCTTTCTTTTTTGTTTTAAGTACATTATTTTTCTCCCTATAAAATGGAAAACAAACGGAAAAAAACAACTTAACACCCCACAATTATTTGCTGCATGTCAGTGGGGCTAGGGTTTTTTGTTCAGATAACAAATCATTCCCTTTGTACCAGTGTTTGAAATTATTTTGTGCTTCCAAGGTTGGAATTTTTTTTTTTGTAATTTGGGTGAAAATTTACAGAGCAAATTCACTTTCCATACAGCAGTTCACATACACTTTGTCTCATGACATTGAGTACAATTTACCGCAACACAACAGCTCATCTCCCACTTCCTTCTGTTAGGTCTTCCCTGTGTCCACTCCTCCATGCACTCCTGCCCCCTGAACTGTCTCCCTGTACATAAGCAGCCCTTCTTTTTCCCGTGCTTGTTTTCTCTAAGGAATATATCTACCTCAGGTAAATGTTCAACTCATATGCCTGCCTTTTGTTTGGCTGGAAGCCACAGGTGTGGGTTTAATTCCAGACCTGAAGGGCACCGAGGGGCCATAGTCTCAGTGGTTCCACCAGGCTCTATCGGGCCAGCAAACTTGGTCCCCCCCTTTCCTATTTTCAAATGATTTTGAGTTTTGTTCCACATTGTTCTCCCTCTCTATCCAGGATCTCCTGCATAGATAGATCCCTCTCAGAGTGGTTGACAGTGGTAGCCAGGCACCATCTAGTTCTTCTGGTCTCGTAGTCATATAGGCTGTGGATTACGTGGTGTACCAGTTGCTAGGACTAATTCTTTCCATGAATCTTTGATTTTCTTCATTCTTCTTTGCTCTGGACGAGAAGAGACCCATAGTTGGATCTAGATGGCTGCTTACAAGCTTTTAAGATCCCAATCACTACCTGCCAAAGTAGGAGGTGGAACAATGTTTTGTGTAGTATGTTATGCCAGCTGAGCTTGATGTCCCCTGTGGCTGTGGTCTCAAGCCCACAGGTTCAACTACTTGGTCCCTCTGGGTAGCTGGCTGTGACCAAGAAGTGACTACAACCTTGACCCTTGTCAGCTCTACTATATACCTAAGAATTCAGATCATACAAATATAGGACCATTGTCTGCCAACCCTGTACATACATGGTCTTGGGTATACTCCCCACTTCATAGACATACCTACTAGTTCAGCCTGTCCACCCATCTATCTACCTGTATACACAGGTTTCCCTTCACTGACAATGCAGTACTGTATGTGCAAAAGGGTTCATCTTTGTTGTCTATACCTCCCATGTACCTCTCTATGTCTTCCTCTTTCTCAATGCTAACATGTTGATCACTCACATTTGGTACATAGCCCTTCTCTTCACCCAAATCAATACTTATCTCTACCTATCTAACAGTGTTCCCTCCCCTCCTCTCCTACCCCTTGTAACCAATAAAGAAAATTTCCTTCCACAGATAAACCTTTTCTTGACTTCTACAATAACAGACTAATACAATATTAGTCCTTCTGTGATTGACTTATTTCACTCAACATAATGTCCTCCAAATTCATGCATGTTATGCAGTGTTTTGTAGATTCTATGTTATTCTTTAAGGTTGCCTAGTATTCCATTGCGTTTATGTGCCATAGTTTGGTTATCCATTCCTCAGTTGATGGACACCTAGGTTGTTTCCCTGTTTTGGCTATTGTAAATAGTGCTGCGATGAACATGGGTGTGCACATGTCTGTTCTTGTCATGGCTCTCACTTCTTTAGGATATATACCTAGTAATGGAATGGCTAGGTCAAATGGTATTTCTAATTGCAACTTTTGAAG